CTGAGGACCGTTTCCCAGGGAGTCCTTCTGACTATCTCCTTGAGGAGCTGGAATTTTGCTTTCCTAAAATTCAGGGTCCTGACTATACTCTTTGTTCTTCCCATTTCCCTCAGGAGCACGAGCTCTGCCAGTGCATGATCACTGCAGCCCAGGCTGCCTCCGATCTTGACATCTCCGATGAGCTTGCTTGCATTGGTGACCACCAGGTCCAGTATCGCATCCCCTTGGGTAGGGGTGTCTATTACCTGGCTTAAGAAGTTGTCCTCAATGCATTTGAGAAACCTGCTGGATTGCCTACAGCTTGCCGTGTTGGTTTTCCAGCAGATGTTGGCGTGGTTGAAGTCCCCCAGCAGGATGAGAGCCTGCGAGCGCGAAGCCTCCCGGAGTTGGAGGAAGAATGCTTCATCAGTCGGCTCTTCTTGATCTGGCAGCCTGTAGTAGACACCAACCACCAGGTTCCCTTTGTTGCCCCTCTCTCTGATTCTTACCCATAAGCTTTCGACCTGCTCATGGCTATTCTTCAGGGACAGCTCTTCACACTGTATTGATTTCTTGATGTAAAGGGCAACGCCTCCGCCCCTCCTTCCTCGCCTGTCCCTTCTGAACAGCCTGTAGCCATCAATAGCTACATTCCAGTCGTGGGATTCATCCCACCAAGTTTCTGTAATGGCAATCAGGTCGTAGCTTTCTAGCAGCACGATAGCTTCCAGCTCCTCCTGTTTGTTTCCCATGCTGCGTGTGTTTGTATAGAGGCATTTCATCTGAGCTGTCGGCCTCGTCACCTTCATAGCAGAACACCCCTTGTTTCCTTTGAGGTGTTTTACAGGCTTTTCCTTGTTGGCTCCTACTACCTCAGGAGCCTCCAGCTCACCTCCACCAGACCTCAACTTCACTGCAGCACCCCTGGCACACCGCTGGGCAACGGGTTGAGGGCTCTGTCTGTTGATAAAAGTTTTTGAGTTGCAGTCCATTCAAATGCATCAAGAAAATTTCTATTTGCAATGTCGAGAGTCTTCTGACTGTAAATTGTGCAATTGCAAAACATTGACCAAATGGTTGGTGCAGATGTGACCTCAGTTACCACTGACTCCTGGTCTCTGTCTCCAGTCAGATTCTGGAAAAATACGTCAAGCTCTGAAATCAAGACACATGAGCTTTAACTATTGCTTCCTTGGCAGCTAAAGCATTTCTGGAAGGAAGTTAACATTGAGAGCTTCTCCATGTTATCTCTAGGCTGTTGGTTCTCGTGAGCGTTGTTTAGAAAATGGTGATGAATTAGGCTGGCAATCTTCAAAGCCTCTTTTTCTCTTCTTTCTTTTCTTTTGACCCTGGCAGTCTGTTTTTAGAACTGATTGTGTTCAAGAGTTTGTACTGTTTCAAGAGGGTGCCCCTAAGCTCTGTATACTGCTGCCTATCAGCCCTGTTGATTTGCCTTGAGCCCTCTGGAGGGGTGAGAGTGGTGGTGATCTTACATTACCGATAGCCCAAAGACAGTTTGTAAGTGGAAGACTCGGCCACAAGCATCCTTTTGGGCTTCCTGTAGTTGCTTGTGTGTGTGTAGCACCACACTGGATGCTCTTGGGTATCTGCATGGCACTGGCAGGTATGACATAGCACATGTGTCCTTCTGGTGTGTCAACCTGTGGGCCAGGTGATTACCCCAGAACATCTCAGGTACTGCTGGGTGCCAACACATGGACAACCAGATCAAGCTTTTTATACATGGTGCTCTGAGATAGTGCCTTGAGCTCCTCCTTCCCTGTCTGTCCATTCCTCCTCTGCATCTGCTGGTCCCAGTGGTGGTGGAAGATGGCTAGATGGGCCCTGTCTTTCCTGCCAGTCTGGGGACCGTTAATTACGTCATCTAGCATGTTACTTGCCTTTCTCAGCCACTCCCTTGGGAACAACCAGCTTTGCTAGTGATGCTGTTTTATAGATTGCCCTGGTTTTCAGCTTTTCAGGTGAAAATTCAAGAATATGATCTTGACTCATCTCTTCTAGCTATTATGGTTCCAGCTGCAGGTGAGATTAGCTGCAGTGTTAAACTGAACCATCACTCAACAAAAGCAGGACTGGTATTTTGATGTTTTCCTTAATACTAGAATTTAGCCCCCCTTACAGCCTGACCAAAGTTGCTTGCTGACCCAGCTGGCAAGATACAGCAAGGCTGTGACTGGTGTTCAAATTTTCCTGAAGGTGAAAGAGATAAATCCCTCCCAATTTTGAGAAAGCCTGTTTTGGGTTATACATTGACATTTTCTATTCCTAGATTTGTATATATCTTGTAAAAATAAGAAATAGAAGGGTTTAACCAGCGTTGAAAACAGATTCATTCTTATTTATGTAATAGCTAGATACTGAATTCAATTGTTACAGAAGGTTTACATGTTGGTTTGAGGAGCCTGGGTTTTGCACTTCAATCTTCTTGTCAGGTCCAATGTTGAGGATACCGAAATAATGTGTTTTGAGGTTTGAGCATGGAAGTATAGACTTATCTGTCTATCCAGTTGTTCTCCTAAGCCTCAAATGTTCCTAACTATCATGAGCATTACGTACTTTGATGCTTGGCTTAGGGCTGTCTGACCCTGTTTTAATAGACGTAGAGCACACAGAGCTCTGCTTCCACTTACAGAGCTGAGAATGCTCAGTATGCCTGAAAATTAGACCCAGCCACCTCCTTGACATACTGCTGATGCCTCAATGTCCATTTTTTTTAAGCGAACAATAAAAACTCAATTTATTGTGACAAATCATTTAAAAGTAGAAATCTTCATAACCTAATAGTGCTGTAACTTTTAAATTATTTGTTTAATTTTCTCATGTGCATTTCTGTGTGATCCTACAGGTTTTAGCTGATGCTGTTGCACGCTTGGTTGTAGATAAATTCAGTGATTTGACAGAAAATTTCACTTCTCCACATGCACGTAGAAAAGTCCTCGCTGGAATTGTCATGACAACAGGTAAAGAAAAAAAAAAAGTACTATTTTAACTGCTTAAATACGACAGCTCTGTTTGCATTCTAGGAAACTTACCTTTTTCCAGTCAACCAGTACTGAAATATTTTTTTGCTGTTTAATCTTCAAGGTGCACTAAATATAGCGATTAAATCTTGGCTAAAGGCAATTACAGGAAAAGTAAAGCTGCAAATACTTCTGTTTCCACAGAATTCCTGTCTTGTGCCTGGTTAAGACATCTGAGAGAACTCATAGTCTACAAAATACGCATACCTTTTAAAATTAATCGTGCAACTTTTTGAAAGTAAATCTAAAATTAATTTCACCACATCAGTCACACAGATGGCATTCTTGGGTTTTGGGACATTATGTAAGAAATTATGCTTGCTTTCCAAATTTTTGAAGTTTTGCACTTTGTTGTTCTTGCTATATTTTCTTCTCAGTACTTTGTGTGTCTCAGTCATTTTAGTAAAAATACCTGAAGAAAGCAGCTTATGTTTTGGTAGCGGACACTGGTGTGCATGTACAAGCAGAGTAATGTCATGGTTCTCAGATTGCTGGCATGAGATCAGTGCTCTACCAGATCACCCAAAACTGAAGTTCTGCCCTAAGCTGATCTGTGACCATGCTGCTGCTGAACTTTCCTCAGGCTAAGATTTATCTTGGTCTTCAATCCATCTCAACCCTTCGTGGAACATTCATTTTGGGCCTGTCATGAAATGTCCTCAATTAATTGTACGAGTCAGACAGATATCGATGATAAAAGTACAGCCTTCCCTTGGTGGTTTGGGCAACGCCAGCCCTTCCTTCCTGCAGGGATGTTTGTAGGGGCATCCTTCACAAAGCAGAGAGGTCTGAGGGTGCTGGTTAGGAGAGATAACCGCAAGCTCTAGGGTCAGAGGACTGTGACAAGGGGGAGATGTAGACCAAACTCTGTCACCAGACATCCGTGGTGGGCTGACTCTGGCCAGCAGTCAGGCACCCACCCAGCCTCTCAATCCCCCCTCTCCTGGGGCATGGGGAGAAAATGGAAGGAGAGTGAGAAGACTCATGTGTAGACAAACAATGTAACTTCAAACATCCTCTCTTCCTTTCCCTGGACTCTTATTGCTAAGCACAACGTTTATGGTGTGGGATAACCCTTCTTCATCGTCACTCAGCTGTCCCAGCTGTGTCCCCTACCAGTCTCTTGCGCAGCACCAGCTCTCTGGCCTTTGGGAGGTTTGGAGAGAAAGCCTTGACACTCCTCAAGCACTGCTCAGCAACAGCCAAAACATTTGTATGGTACCAACACTGTTTTAGCCCCAAATTCAAAGCACAGTGAGGAACATGCTGTAGTTTTATTTAATAGATTTTGTGATATTTAACAAATTTTCATTGTAATTACAATCCTGTGTCCACAATTCCCAGAAGAGCCATGTGACCAAAGACTTAATTAACATGTGAATATGTTTTGATTAACTGAAGAAATAGCTTTGCACAGAATTAGAAACCATCTTTGCATGGATATGTGTCTGGGGTACCCCTGGAATTAGGTGATCCCATTGCACAGTATTGTGTTGTAGAGTGAAGTGGCTCCCTGCTTCTCCTCCATGGTCTTTCCTCCAACCCTGTGGGCAGGAGTGGGCAGCTGTGCTCAGGTTCAATTTTCAAGGCCAAATATTTCATCAGGAGCGAGAGCTCAAACAGTCCATATCTCAATTATCTTTTTAATTACTCAGTTGCCAATTACTTGCTAATTACTAGTTATGCCCCTTATATTGGCACTGCTGTCATGCAGCCAGGTGGTTATGGGAGGATCCTCAACTCTAGGTGCTTGGGATGCATTGAAGATGGTTTTTCTGCTTTTCCATACTGCAGTAACTATTCTGTGGGAGCAAGATAGCAGAAGGCATTTGGCAGGGCTTGGCTGCTGTCTGACTCTGCTGGTGAGGCCTTGAGAGCTTCAGAGGAATTAGTGTGGCTTGTTGGGGCTTTTTTTCCTCAGTGTTTTGTTAGAAGGATGTAACATTTTGACCTGTCTTTCTGAATTCTTCATGCAGCTGACCTTTTTTTTTTGTATGATAAAGACAGTTCTCTTTATAGAAAACACCAAAAATAATTTTTTTAATTCTATTGTATGGAATGATTTAATACCAAGAACTACACTTCTAGGAGCATTGTACTGCTGATAAGCTTTACAGTGTTTTAAGCATTTAAACTTCTTCATTCCCTAGTCTTACCTTCCCTGTTGTTGGCTTAATACCCTTCCGTAACATGTTGCTCTTTTATTAATTCGGTGCCTTTCAGACATCTGAGGTCACTGTGAATATTTGCATAGGTGGCCAAAAGGTACATGCTGGAAGTTAGCTGGCTGCCGGGGGCTCAGGAAAAAAGTACTGTCTGTGGCACTCAGGTTTTACTAACTCAACCTGAAGCAGCAATTTTTTCCTGCAGGTCTTCAATTCCTAGCTTCTCTGAACTCCAGCATGAAGAACTCACAAGAACCATAGGCCGTACTGGTACAGGGGGAGGGTATGACTGAGCGAAGCTTTTGCTTTAAAGGAAGTATCAGAAGAAAAAACACTTTTTTTTTTTTTTTTTTTTTTTTTTTTTTTTTTAAAAGCAAACAAACAAAAGAAAGGAGCCTTGCTTGGGTTCTGCAAGAAGATCACTTGCTGGATTATTTGTGATTTTAATTGTATCTTCTTCCTGAAATTTTGTTTTGCAGGTACAGATGTGAAAGATGCCCTGGTAATAAGTGTTTCTACAGGAACAAAATGCATCAATGGTGAATACATGAGCGATCGTGGTCTTGCATTAAATGATTGCCATGCGGAAATTATATCTCGCCGGTGCCTGCTTAAATTTCTGTATACACAACTTGAGCTTTATCTAAGGTAAGCTGGAGGGAAAAGGACGATAGGCTGATCACACAGAGCTGAAAATGTGTCTGCATACAACATCTGTCTTAATTATTTCAATGTGAAACACTTGTCCTGTTACATTAGGATGTTTAATTTAGCACTCACGCCCTTTGTCCTAAAGTTTGACTTTAACAGAACATGTATTCAGTTCGGTGTCAATCAGGAGAGGGGAGGAGAGAAAAAATACTTGGGAATCATTTTGTAAACTGTAAACATGTAAATCAAAATAATCTCAAGTGGGCTAAAGGGTGGTGATTTTTCATTTGTTGGTAAATGCCTGAAAGCTCTTGACATCTGGGGTTGTCAAGGGCTCTCTATTTCTTGTCTCAATGGTATTTTAATGTTGTTAATTGTAATAACTCTTAGATTTACACTATAAAATTTCCAGTCATCCTCTGTTTGTTTTTAATGCCTATTAAGACTGCTCAGTTTATGGTTATTTATGTGTTAATGACAGTTTTGACTCTGGCTTTATTCTCTGTTTCAGCAATAAAGATGACCAACAAAAATCCATTTTTATCAAATCGGAGCGAGGCGGGTTTAAGCTGAAGGAGAATGTGCAGTTTCATCTCTATATCAGCACGTCTCCTTGTGGGGATGCTAGGATTTTCTCACCACACGAAGCAGCACAAGAGGGTATGACAGCAGTCCTACTCAAGCAAAGGAGTTTAAAGTATTCTTTGAGCATGTACAAGTGGCACAGTTAAAATTTAGGTGTCTTCTTTCCTTTTAGTGTAGATGTGTGTTAGGCAAAGATCTCTTCAAAAAAAATCTGAGCTGTTCCTCCTGTGTGGTAGAAGTTAAGTATAGACTGATCCACCATGTGGTCTTGAAGAGGCTGAATGCTAGCCAAGATAAGCCAGTGAGTCAGCAAGTATTTGTACAGAACTAACCAAACTGTTTCACTGTTTCCATCTTTTAACAGTGGTTGTCTGCCTGCCCCTTTCTTGATCTGTCCATTAACTTCTTTTTAATGCTGTAATGTGCAGAACAGAACTGAATGTGCAGAACAGAATTGAAGAGCTACCTGCTGCATACTGCTCCTTCATGGAAAGCTTGGTTTAATTGCAAGTGTATTTTAGAAGACAGTATTTGTGAGAGATATCTGATGCTGTAGCTAATATTCAAGGAGTAATAGAAATTGTTATCTAAGCTGGCAGTTATGCAGGCAAATACCTTTAATCAACTCTTCTTATTGTAATGCTATCTGTAAAACGCTTTGAGAATGCTTCTCAACTGACTGTAAGTGATTTTTGTCATTTAGATCAAGGGGACAGGCATCCAAACCGCAAAGCGAGAGGACAGCTACGGACAAAAATTGAATCTGGGGAAGGGACCATCCCTGTGCGCTCTACTACCACTATCCAGACGTGGGATGGCGTACTGCAAGGAGAAAGGCTACTTACCATGTCCTGCAGTGACAAGATAGCGAGGTGAGATACTGAATGATTGGCTTCTTTGCTATTGCTGTTTATGGCTGAACAAGAAAGGATTGCGTGTTACCTGCAGTGAACGTACAGGTTATTGATTGGCTTATTTCATTGCTTAGATGTGGCGTGGGGGTGGCTGTAACTCCAGTGATGAGGCTCTGATTCTTCACCTGCAGTTGGTGTAAGACCTTCTGCTGGCTTCAGAGGCAAGGTGAAATCATTATCTGTCATTACAGATTTGTATTGTATTCCTATCACTGGGAAATAGCAGAGGAATGTTTTCTTTTTTCCCTAAAGTAGTATAGCATTAGCAAAACAGCGCAATAAATATATTACATTAGTTATATTTGGATAACTTCCTCTGATATACATCCTTGCCCCATCATTAGAAATGTTTAAAGTCAGTTTAGATATGGCTTTGAGTGACCTGATCTAGTGAAAGTTGTCCCTCCTGTGGCAAGGGGGTTGGACTAGATGATCTTTAAAGGTCCTTTCCAAACCATTCTGTGATTGTATGTGTCTTTGATATCATAGATTTGTCCATGGATAGATTTAGATTTGTGTTATTTTATACAGGGAACAAGTGTTCCAGTTAAAAAAATCTTAATTGATGGGCACTTTTAATTTTTAACTTTAAAATTCTTTTAATTTTAGTTTAAACTTTTATACTGTAATTAAATATTTTGCTTCCAGTACTAGTGCTTCTATTTATATTTTATCTGATTCCTTCTTTGTTGTCCTTTTTGACAAAGATTGAAAGATTTTTCTTTTTGTTCAAAATCATAAATGGACAAATGATTACACCCCCCCACCAGCCCCAAAATTTAGCAGCAGTATCCTTTAACAAGTATCAGAAGTATGGGAGAGTTGCAGCGCAGTTTTTTGAAATGAGTCTGTGTGTTTGCAGCCTCTGTGTTCTTGCAAAATAGGTGAGAAATGCCAAGTTTTTTAGCTGATTGTATTTTAAGTTTTTTTAATTAAAATAGCTCTGCTGTTTTGTCAAGTCGCAGTTAGCTTGAGTCAAGATTTATTAAGTGTATTAAGTTCACACTATTCTTGTGAAATGTGTATGCCAAATCAAAAATACAGGAGGAAGGTTATGTAATTGCTTTGTTCCTCTAGTCTTGTCTCAAGTAATTGGCATCACTACTGAAGGAAGACGTTTTACTTTAGTTTAAATCCCTCTAACATAAATGGATAGGGCCTTTCAGAATCTAGGACAGAGGGTTATTGAAAGGTAATTCTACAAAAAAGGTGTTTCAGTTTCTTTTATTATATTTTCAATAAAATTCACCAAATAAATTCCCTAGCTTTATGCCAGGGACTTCTCCCAACCATCCGACATGGTAATCGTGCCACATTCATTTGACTTCTTCTATCACTTAGTCTTCGCTGTTAGTGCAAATAAAAAAAAAAATGAAGACAGTTGTTGAGCTAGAACACATTTGACTGTTTTGTTGATTTTGTGTGATGCAGAACAGAATCCATCTCTCGCTTGCGTAGCTAGCTGTCACCTCTCGTTGGGGCTAATGGGAATAATTTTGTTTGTGCCAGTGAAGGAAGCAAATAGAACCCCTTGACACAGAACAAAGACTGTATGACGGGTAAGGAGGCCCAAATTTTCATATTCTTTTTTGCTTTTCTTTTTTTTTTTTTTTTTTTTTTTTTTACGTTTCCCTGACACTTATGACCGTGTTTTGTCCATTTACATTTGAAAGAATGCATGGCTCTGTAGTGTCCAGCAGTCAGTCCTCCAGTAAGCCTGAACCCTGTGAATTTCCACTGAGCTTTTCTGAAGGTTCACAGGCCCAGCCTGGAAAAGATGTGGATAAATTCAGGGTGCAGGCTTGCACAAGCAGGAAAACTCCTTGTATCTGAACAGCCTCATCTGTGTGGATTATATGTATAATCCAAGCTGTTATTTCCAGCCTCTGAGTGCTTTGTTGCAGTGTGCTGTCTAGCACCCTCCTGAGCATGGTAGGAACATCCAAGGAAAATTGTGAGAAGCACGGAAAGCCATGAGTGTAATCCCGTTTGGGTCAGAAGCATTAGAACAGGATTATCCTAGTGTGTTAGTGCCTGGTGGCCCAGCAATATGGTGTTAGGGTGGTTTCTGTGACCAGAGTAACTGTTTTGGGACATGAATATATGTGCATTTGTTATAAATTTATCCTAAGCTTGTTCCATTGTACTTTATGACGTCTATTTTTGTCATTCTCCTTTTGATGTCCACAGTCATTTTACATTTTTTGGCTTCAATAATTACTTAACTTCTCATGAAACATTCCAGTTGTGGCTAATGTCTTGCTGAGAAAAGGAAGGTTTTTTTCACCTTATTTCATTGGTAGGAAGGCTGTAAGAATTGAGAAGAGCTTTAACATCAGGTTAAGTTGTTAAAGGGGAAGTCATTGGTGCTCTTCTACTTTACAGAAGTGAAAATATTTCTGATAATCTTTTGTGTGAAGGAAAATTACATGCCTGTGAACTGGCCTCATTTTGTGCTTATTCTGAGTGGGAAATATGAATGGAAGTTTATAACTCAATCTTTCTCTTTATTTCCCCAATGGCTTTGTCTTCTTGACCTTACCATCTAGTTTTTTGGGACTGATGAAGTTGCACAAACACATCTTAAAATCCTATGCATGCACGCTACAGGCTGCATGTTCTGCAGCTATGTCCTTGCCCATCCATCTGTCTTTGAGTTTGAGAGTGGCAAGTTTGAGTTTAGGTGGCAAGCTCTATAATGGAGCTGTGTGATTACTGTACAGCAATAGAAGGAGCAGTTCTCTTTACCAGTGGCTGATGTGAATGTAATTCACTTTGATATGTGGTGGCTGCATGATACCTAGGTAGAAAACCTGGGGGAAAGTGGTAGGAAACCACCACCTAAGATGTAGCATCTAAACAAACAGATGTTGTAACCTCTCAAACCAGTGACCTGAGTCTTGACCTAGGCTCACTGGTATGCAGCAAATCCAGGCAACACCAGAAAACCTGGGACGAGTCAGAGCTGTGTGGTTGCCAGCCTAGGTACAGCTACAAGCAAAAAGAGATTCTTTTGTCTGTAACTGCAAATCTGACCTCAGGATAAATAAAAAGATGTTTGTGAGAAGTGCTGTCAAAGACCATGCGCTTCTTGCACTTAATAATTTATATTGTGGGCTTCTGACTGAGCCACTTGATGTAAAAAGCTCCGACTCCACTTCATGTAAAGATGTCGCTGCCTGTTTATGCTGTGGCTCATGAAAGGCATGGGCTGGTCATAGAGATTCAGTTAATCTCTTAAGGAAACGAAGAGAAATTGGATTTAAAATCAGAAAGAAACTAGATTGCAGTTAGCTGACTGAAGTCAGCTGTGCCCATTTGTTCTGCAAGGTGATGGGAGTAAAGCCCAACTAGACGGGTGTCTACAGCAAGCAGATCATGACCTGCCCAGTGTGGGTCTGAGTTGAAGCTGAGCAGCAGAAATGCCCCTGCACATGAATGATGAACCACAGCGAACGTGATTGTAAAGACACAAATGCTTGTGACTGAGCTATAGAGGTGAAGGCCACCACAGGGCTCTTCTGCAAGCATCCTTGGGGATGCTGCTGGCCTCAAACTTGGCAGGCTGATCACAGCAGTTTTGGAAATCAGAAACATGCAGGAAAACCCGTGAGCGCAGCTACTGCAAACATGAGTGTCTTCTGTTCAGAGCTAGCAGGAGCCCCTGGGTCTGCAGCTTCCAACGTCTTTGTGGTAAGAAGCAAGTTGCCCCACATCTTGGATGCACAGTGGTTGTGGGGAGCTCTTGGTTCACATTGCAATTGAAAAGACCTGGAAACCTTGTTGGTGTCATGGTAAGCCAAGCCTGCCGAGACAGCTGCCATCTGAGCTGTGTGCCTCTGTCATGGAAGAGGGCAGGAGATGCATGTGATGAGGCAAAATGCTTTCTTGGGATAGTCTGACATCTCAGATGTTGACACCTATACCTTCTCTCCCTTGCCATCGGTTGCAAGTATAACATTGTCATAAACAAAATGCATACTAAATAATTTTCCTTTGTTCATAGTCATTGCTGTTTGTAGATGGTATTGATAAGAGCAGCACTTTGAATTGTAAACACTTGTTTTTATAGAATCATAGAATCATTTGGTTGGAAAAGACCTTTAAGATCATCAAGTCCAACTGTACCTGTCCACTTAAACCATGTCACTAAGCACTTTGTCTACCCATCTTTTAAAAAGCTCCAGGGATGGTGACTCAACCCCATTCCTGTGCCTGATAACACTTTCAGTGAAGAAATTTTTCCTAATATCTAATCTAAACCTCACCTGCTGCAACTTCAGACCATTTCCCCTCATCCTATTGCCCGTTACCAGGGAGAAGAGACCAACACCCACCTCACTACAGCCTCCCTTCAGGTAGTGGTAGAGGGCAATAAGGTCTCCCCCAGCTTCCTCTTCTCCAGGCTAAACCATCCCAGTTCCCTCAGCTGCTTCTCATCAGACTTGTGCTCCAGACCCCTCACCAGCTTCATTGCCCTTCTCTGGACACGCTCCAGCACCTCAATGTCCTTCTTGTGGTGAGGGGCCCAAACCTGAAAACAGTATTTGAGGTGCGGCCTCACCAATGCTGAGGACAGGGGAAGGATGACTTCCCTGGTCCTGCTGGTCACACTATTTCTGATACAAGCCAGGATTCCGTTGGCCCTCTTGGCTACCTGTGCACACTGCTGGCTCATATTCAGTTGTCTGTCTGTCAAACAATACCAGTTTGTCAGGCTTTGCAGCCCATCATAAGTATAACTTCATTTTTTCAACAGTAAACTCTCGTTTTGGTAGTTGCAGGAGACTATTCATTTTCCTGCAATGAATTCTGACACCAGTTCCACATGCACACCATTGTAAATGCAACACGTAGTGACTCGCCTCCTCCTTTTATGCTGTCTGCATAAAAATGGAGGAGATACTAAGGTGATACTAAGACATTTGATATTAATGTGAAGCTTAATTGGTTAATGC